AAGGAAAGAAAAATATAGACCATTAATGTATTATTTTCACTGTATTTATTTCCGGTATCAACCGACTGAATTTAACTAGCAAAGCGTTAGAATAGTTTCTTTTATCTTTAAATGATCATTAATTCAATGTATACACTAATATTTTTATGTTTCTTCAGTGTAAACTATACTCACTTACCTGGATACAATCTTTTTCACTATCGACTCAAGACTAGTTCGATATTTTTTTTTCGTAGTTTTACCGATAGAATAGAAGATAGTAAAAACAATTAAAATATATACATTGATTTGATATGTAACCATATTACTATGATGCTTACATTCATTTACATTAGTGCAATGATATGTTTATTGTTATTGCTATAATAAATTTGTAAAACACACTAGTATAAAATATATTAAGTAATGATCTAATTCAAATAATCAACAAATATAACTACAGTTTTCAATAGTGATGTTAATTATAAAACATATTTAGGATAATGTAAGCATTAAATTTATGATTTGAGTAGTATGTATTTTTATATCAAATGAAAGTATATTTATATATTGCAGTCAAATTATTTTTAATCAGGATTTTTTTTTCTACAAAGAGAATATTAACTTTCATCGTAGTAAAAAAGAGAATTAAACTTAGCTTAGTGAGATTTCTCATGAGGTATTGTAATCATCATGACACTATAAAATCATCTAATTTCAGTTATCTAAGGATACGATGAAAATTAGAAGATAGTCAAAAAGATTGAGTATTAAAATAAAGAAGATTGATTCAGAGAAAAGTTTTCATTTCAGTCAATTCATTTTCATAGTTGTACATTCGCAAATGTATACTTTTTAAAAGTACTGTGATGACAATAAAAGTGACAATAAAATTCTGCTAAACATGGTGACAGTAAGGTAAAATAAACAAAGGCATAAAAACGTCATTTTTATTGAGAAAACTAATAAAAATTTTGTTATTGAGGCCTTGAACATTCATCATGAAGAATAATAAAGAAATTATGACTCGAAAGTGAATGCTGAGTATGACAAGATAAAACGTTGACATTAAGATGAATGGTAATCAGAAGAATCTTAGAAACAGAAATAAATCAGTTGAGGGTGAAAGGTCCATAGAGAAGAAAATAGGAGCGAAGGAAATGGCTACGAAAATTGCCAGAGATTATGATCATGGTAAAAGTAGAGGTAGTATAAGTTTCTTTTGTTCACACAATCCTGGTTTTCCAAACTGTATAACAAATGATTCGGGAATGATAAAAAGACGGAAGCTAACTGTCTTTGGCAGCTTTCTACTTGGCTTTTAAATGACTTTGAACGCAGTCCATTTTAGTCGAATGACCTGTATCTACAAGGTGTTCATTTATCGAGCTCCTTATTGAATAATTTCCGCATTCTTTCAGTCAGCATTGAACGACCGATATACCTCGCTCCACATGAACAAGTAAATTGATAAATGCAAATGAAATTGGTCAGATGAGATATATTGTACTTTAGATTATTGCTGAACATTGATCGGTTGAAGTACATTAATCGCAAAGTTGCTGCAAAGAACGTTCTGTTGAAGGAGTCGGAAATCTTCCTCTTGAAGATGTCTGTAGCTATATCACCTTGAAAACGGTCGTTCATATAAAAAGTTTTCTTTGGAACGGAGGCTATTCGTGCCTTAGGAGGTTTGAGTTTCAATAAATAACGATGGATACCCGTTTTATTAAGTATTGTATTTAGAAAATTCAGTTCATTATCTATTACCTCATGATTACAAATTCTTTGTACTAATATAGCGAGGGATATAACTAAATTTTGCTTTCGACTAACGATAACCAACCTGTGAAAGCCTAGTAGCTGGTCATTCCACATGAGTTTCCTGTAAATAGATCTTCTTACAGTTTCATCGTGTTTCATTGTCATTTTCATATTAAGAAAGTGAATACGTAGTTTGTTTTGCAATTCCGCACCAAAACCTTTTTTATATGAATTTCAAGGTGATATAAGTACAGACATCTTAAATAGGAGGATTTTCAACTCATTCAACAGAATGTTCTTTTCAGGAACTTCGCTATTAGTGTTTGACCGATCAATGTTCAGCAGCCGTCTAAGTTAGAAGTAAATCTTAATATGTTATTGATTTGTTTCATGACATTGTGGTGAATAACGTTCGAAAATGTTCATCTCTTAATATATATATATATATATATATACGATAGTCGTAGCCTTAAGGCAACGGTCACTTCATTCTTTAACTAGATACGAAAAAGAAATTAACCTCATAAAAATTAATCAGATTCTGTTGTTTTTTTTGTTTCTTGATAGAACTCATTTATTCCTTCTTCTATTATTCATTTTTCTAATACTATCTACTTAGGAAAAAAACAGAGATGAAGAGAGATAGAGAGAAGGAGAGAAAGAGAGAGGGATAAAGAAAGAAACAACTGTTCATTTATTTTATGAATAATTAATCAGATTAGGAGAAAACGCGCATACAAAATACAGTAATAATTGAAGAAAATATCAATTTATTAAACTAACCCTATTAATTCTAAGAAAATATAATATTAATAAAGTAAAAAGAATAATCAAGAGTTATATATGATTTAACTTATAATATCAGAATTTAATTCAATACAATTAATTATTTGGTTTATTTTAATTTTCACTAAGAATAAATTACCTAGAAACTATGAAAAGAATCAATATCTAAAAACAAAAAGTTTTTTTTTAATTTTTCTATTAAAGTCAATATTTTTTTTCTATCATGGGATTAAGATCATAGTGATAAAAAAACCAAATATTACACTAATGAATAATATTTAACCAAATGATTTATATCTTATTATATAATATTATTATTTATTTATAAAGGTAGGTACAAATAAGTTTGAGTTTTTGGGTAGTAACAAGTATGAAACTGGGTTAAATTGTTGTTCATTATGATTTGTAAAAGTTTATTTTTAAAAGTAGTATAATATAATTTTAGATAAAACATTGATTACTGAATGAATATTTAAGTTTTAATGATAATACAAATGGATTATACACATTATTCATATTTAATAATTGAATTTAAACTTGTATCGATGAATAAATGGATCATGTTTTTATTGGATTAACTTAAATAAAATTTGATAGCAATCATATTAAATCAATAAATTGATGAAAGTTGAATATCACTATCGATTAAACTCTAATATAATACTTTAATGAAATTATTTACTTTGTGAGATTGTAATACCATGATTTTAGCCATATCTAGTGTCACTAATGCATATTACTGGTAATTTTTTGAAAAAAAATATATAAAAATGAAAATGTCTTTGTGATGTTTCTCACCGCTTTATCATTTCTCAATTGATTTTAGCTTGTAAATTAAACTTATTTTAAAAAAAACTATATAAGGCACTTCAAACGAATTCGGTAAATTTTTAATATTATTACATCAATATGATGTATAAAAATACTTTGATCATTTAGATAAGACCATATGAATTTATACTATTGACTGGGTTAGTATTTTTAGAATCTCGCAAAGTGGGATCGTAGATGCGCACTGCTGAGGAGTCCCATAACAGGACAAAACAACCGTCCAGTGCTTACAGGTTTTCCGTGTTGGTCTAGCTTCTATTGACTCATGATTTCAACTATTGAAACTACTATAATATTCACAAAATCCCTTCTGATATTTCTAGAACTGTTTAAATCTATACTTTAAAACTTATTTAGTGTAAGAGGTATCAGTCTATACTGAAACCGTATTTAATTTTACAATGTAATTCCAACTATTTATTAATCGAATATATCTTCATAATTGACTATAGTGGAAAACTGACCTCTAATACAAAAAAACGTATTTACAATTTATGAATTAAGATTCAATATATGTGAACAAAAAACAATCAATTAAAAGTGTATTGTATTATATTTTTACATGCAACATTAACATGGTACTTTTTAAATTTCTAGCGATTGATGACAAGCATAGTAGGTAATATTTAATTTGTATAACCAATACATTTCAATTTCAACAGTTGAATTCATGAGTCAATCTACATTAGACCACCATTGGGAACCTGGAGGAACTAGACGGTTGTTTCGTTCTAATATGGGACTCCTTATAGACTGACTCATGAATACAACTATTAAGATTGCTACCCTTGTTCTGATATATTTCAATTTCATATCATTGTTTAACTCTATCTTTTACAAATTAAAAAAACATGTACTATTTTACTTAACATCACCATTATTCTTATTAACAAGAAGAGTGTAAGTTCAATTATACTGAAGTATATATATTAGAACAAATGGACGAAACAGTATGTCGTATTTTTTATAAATGACTGAGTTGCCACATTTTACCACTAGCTGTTTTAAGTTTCATCTAAAAAGTATATTTATGCTACATTTGACAGTACATCAAAGATTAAGTCGTTTAAATTATGTAGAAAATTTATTTCTTATCGATCTGTATAAATATTTTGTTTTTCTTACTGAAATACAAATACGAGAAAAGATAATGTAGTGCTCTCTGAGCTGAATGGTTTGGTCGTGCACAGAACTCCACCAAAATCATCTGCCTGAGCTACAAATCTTCTCCAAAATGTAGTGCGGATAATTAAAAATGTTATTCTTTGTAAAATATCATTCATAAAACTGGAGTACGGTTATTTTATCATGATTGGTTGGTTATTGGTGTTATCTGTTAAAAACCTACAAGAATTGATCAAGTTAAAGAATAAACAGAAAACCTTTAACAGTTTTGGTGAGCGCGACTCTAACTAGCCATTGAATTAAAATCCAGTGATCTACTGGTTCTTAACTAACAAATATTCTCCGACAGATATTGGAGTTCATAAGAACAAAACTTATTATGATACAAATTTATTTTATTAAATCACTTTAGTAATATTTCTATAATATTTGGTTATGATTAAATTACTATTTTCTATAATCATTAACTGACTGTAGTTGATCAATATTTGCTTATAACATTTTTTACATTTCAGAAGAAGATCGTCGTATATCTGGTGCAGTTGTAGTTGAAATTGAAAAACCAGCCAATGAAGATTTAGGAATTAGTTTAGCACCATGTCACGAAGTGAAAACTGGTCAAAATGCATTTTTCATTGATAATATCAGACAAGGAAGTATAGCCGATAGGTAAATCAATAAATTAAAATTGTATTATTTTTAATATCTACTAACTGTTATAGATTTCTAAGCTAATTAACATAAATACTTACATAATAATATTAATGGCCTACTTAATCATGATTACTTTGACTATACCTTTAAAGTTTAATCTCTTATCTTAGATATTTATGTAAGTAAACAGTAGGGTAACATATTAATCCTTCTCTTCTCCTCAGTCTTATTTTACTCTACTTCCAACATTTCTATCATCTTGTCCAAAATAAGTATCGCTGCATCGTCTTTTAACCTTTACAGTATATTATAGAACTAAATATTTTATAAGCTTGTATATTAGCTTACATTCCAACGTAACAGTTAACAATGGTTTAGTGTAATACAGTTTATCGATTTAAACAATGATATTTACATAGTTCATATTAACTAATGTTTCACTTTCAGTCTATCTAACCTTTTAACAAAAGATTTTTTATCAGAATTGTGCGTTAAAACATATACTATAGCTTGACAAACACTCTTCAAATATTAGTTCAATTATATATAAGCATAATGAATGCATAGGCTGTTACATATATACAGGAAGCTAACAAATAGCCCTGTTTAATAAATTATGTAAGCTAATCAAAAAATTGAATGCTAATAAAATATTATAGCAGATTAGCGCATATTTTGTATTCAGAAAAATGAAAAACTTCGTGTATACTGTATGAAATTCCATGATATATCTGTTTAAAAAGAATCATTGGAGATAATTTTCAAATCTTCGATGTATTATTTATTTATAACTTATTTAAACACATAAACATTAGTACAAAAAGGCACCGAATACACATGTGACACACAAGTCACTTGATTTGTGTGTGGGCTATGATACTACCCGGGTGCCCGAACCGAAGCAGGTGATTTTCTTAGTGGACCACACCCGGAACCTTTGACCTAACTATCTGACCCACGATGCAATGGAGCAACGTCAGGAGATGCAGTTCCATTGTAGCTAGTGACCAACGGTTGGTTCATACGCCATTTGTTCCTCCAGGATCCTGGAACCCATGTACACCATTGGTTTGGAATCAGGGTTTTCCAACTTCCCTAGGTGGACTCTCCATGTCCACCAAACCGGTTAAAGCACCGGACATTCGCTTTTTGTGCTTTCAACTTCGTAAACAACAGTAATATTTCGAGAAGGCAATGATCAGGACTTCCCTGTCAGTGGTTGTATGCACGTGGTCATGTGAGAGCATTTTGAGAGGGTGAGCTGACTTTTCCCACTCTCGGCCGTATCAGGGCATTTGGGGGCATCAAATGTCACGAAAATCAATTAATTCATGTTAATATTATTACTTGTGAGTACTTAATTAAATTATCAAATACAAACTTATATATGCGGTGTTGAGATTTACTTTATGTATGAGCTAATAATATTACTTTATTGTCAAAACTAAGTAAAATTTGCTTTGACACTTCAACCTACTGATTTTAATTTGAAGGACTTGAGACACCTAATCGCTAAATTGCTTACTAGTTATTATCAATAATACTCTAGAACTAAATTTAATAACGCCTAATGCTTCTCATCTTATCACTAGTGTTACCAGTGGTACTTCAGTACAACATAACTTGCTGTAGTTATCATACAAATAAGCTATAACAATTTGCTCAATTTAAGTGAATAATTGTTTAAAAGTTTCACTTGTTTCATCATAGTTACTGGTTTAATACAGTTGACTGATTAGCTTATCTCTTATAAAGCGCATATACATAAATAAATACCACTTTGAATAATAGTTTGGTATTCCATAATAAAAGTCGAAAATACTATAAAAAACATCTTTAAAAACGGTTCAAAAAATCAACAAAAGCGAAATATTAAATCAGTAATTGTCGAAAATAGTTCGTTTTTATAATATTTAGTATTCGGTCTATACCAATGGGAGGCATCAATTTAATTCTTCTGATAAAAAGATTAAGATCTTGATTATTTATGCTTCATTTTAGTCTTAGTTAGAAAAACGTGATTATAAATATATGCGCGATGAATTGTGGAAATTTCAGATCTAAGTATAGGAGTATCAGTATTGCACTACTTAGTCTGAGGGAAATATTTCACATTTTAACTTATAGTCACCTTGCAATTAAGTTAGATTGCATTTCTAACTTAACAAATCAGCTAGTAATATGCCTCTAACTGATGGTACTTTTTAAAAATTTGTTGCTATACAGCATATCATTCAACTGGACGTTTAGCTTAGTCTGTAAGCAGTTTTCATATGGAGTTTACATTAATTGAAGAATCACAGGAAACTAGAATGTACCACACGGTTATTTCATCCTTCTTCGAAACTTCTCATCAATAAGCATTCACAAACTTACATTATATATATATATATATATATATATATATATATATATATATATATATTTGTATTTGCAAAGTTCATTTGCAAACGAAAACTTATGTCAAGTATAATTAGGCAGTTTGTTGATTTCTGGCTGGGATAAACAAAAAACGAAATTACATTTTTTCTGCTTAGTTTGGAAATTAAGGATAAATTGGGTTTTTTTTACTTTTATTTCTTGTACTAGAACTAATAATCTAACTGCTTTTATCTAAATATAAAAAAATTCAACTTTTCTGCACCCATTTTTTTATTATATTGGTTTTCATTAATGAAATAATGAATCTAATTTATTCGGATTATATAAATTTGTCCTTAGTTAATAACATACAATTCATTATATACTTACATTTGTGCTATTTCTTCAGGTTTTTATGAATTTTCTCATTCGGCGTTACATACAAATGAAAATGAAATGTATTCTGTGTGGATTGCCTAGATATTGCCTCAAGTCATAAGCTTTATAAGCAAAGGTGGATAGTGGCTAGCACTGGAATCTGGGACGCGCGTTTCGTCCTATTTGGAGCTTGTCAGATGAATGTTCCTGCATCCTAGAGTTGATATCCACTGTAGGACTCGAAATCCAGTACCGTTTGCTTCGAACGCCATCGCGTTATTCACTTAGCTACTAAGTCCTGATAGCCATTTGCTTGTGCAATGGAGTAAAATTTTAAATTCACTTGGTGTTATTTTACTTGTATCTTTCCATTGTTATTTAGGATTGCAATTGAGCAGTCTCTTGTTAGCATATGTACATCCTGTGAGGATTGCCTCGATATTGCATTAAGTTATAAGCTTTATAAGCAAAGATACATAGTGACTTGCATTAGAATCCAGGACACGCAATTCTAAACAACAATGAGAAGATACCAGAAAATAACATCATGTAAATTTAAACTTCACCCTATTGCACAAACAGGTAGCTATCAGGACTCAGTAGCTAAATGGATAACGCGATAGCGCTTGACGCGAATAGTACTGGGTTCGAGTCCCGGACTAAGCATCAACTCTGAGATGCAGGTACATCTAGCTGACAAGTACCAAATAGAACGAAATGCGCATCCTGGATTTCATTACTACCCACTATCCATTTTTGAAATGAATTTCGCTATAAAAATATTAAGAATTATTTATCTAATCATGTTTTATTGTAAATCTTTGTGTTTTGTGTAATAAATTTAGTAAATATCCAGTTTTTTTTGTTTTTGGTATTTTCTTACTGTTTTACTAGGTCATTAGTTCACATGTGATTAGAAATTCTTTTAAATAAACAGAAATTGTAAAGAATAAGGTTGACAGAATATACAATTAATTATTCTTATGGGATAAATTGTCATGTAACACGTGTCTATGACATTTTCAATTATCATTTCTATTTTGTATATATATAACGTAAATTAAATTACAATGTTGGTATTTACTAACTAATTACAAATTACCAGTTTTATAAAAACCCCTTTAAGATAATAAATAAAGAATATTTTATTTTTCAAAGAAAATTACTTGTGTAATAATGTTAATTTGATGGTATTCTGTTTACATAATTAACTAGATTACAAATATGAAATCGTTTCGTAGTAACTATCATAAAAGGTCTGTGAAAATTACTCAGTATGATGTTATTTTACTCATTAGTAAATGGCTTTGAAATTCTTTTTGTTTGTTAGGAAAACATGGTTTTCAACTATACAGGTACTGAGATAATCATAGTTTAAGAAATCGAATGACAACTAAAAAATATTATGAATTGATTAAAGCCGGATATGTGTACATTGGAATCTAGCTAAGTTGTATTATAGGTAAAAAACTTAGTGTAAAGTTTAAACTATCGAGTAGTTTCCTACTAGGATGAATAATTTTAGGGCTCCTTGGTCATCATTAGTTAACGAGGTCAAAATAATTCATGACAAGTTTGATGTCATGCCTTAACACGGAACAGAAATGGTTTAATCAACATAATCAGTAACGAGTCATAACATGTTAGTGTGTGAAGCTTGTTTCCCGTCTAACTATCATACAGTTTGTAATTCTTTGAACTATCAATTAGTAGATACTGTTCAGAAGTTAAATTTGGACAGAACGGTTATTAAGTGTCATATTAATAAGAAAGAATGTTTCGTATAACAGTTAAATTACTGAGGGCCCATTTCACAGGAAAATGGTTCACCATGGTGATTAAAGGTTTTTGAAGTTTGTTAATGAAATATATCTTGGAGAAATTACATTATTTAAAATAAATTACACAGTAAAAGTTGCTTTGCTTATTTCAGTGGTCAGGTGACTACTTTCCATTTTTCATCATTTCTATTTTGTATACTTGTTAAGGCGAAACGGTTTTTGTTTAGTTACCAAAAACTTTGAATTTACACCAGTAGTTGATAATAACTGTTATCTAACTAAAACAAAATCATAGTTTATCAACAGAAGCTTGATTATACTGGAACAACATAGATATTAGATCATTCTCATTATAATAAAAGTTAACATACTGTATTACCATTGTAATCAAAGTGTCTACCAAGATAAGAGAACGTTTAACTTTAAATTTTAAACAGATTTAAACTATCAAATAATAAAACAAAAAATTGAAAAATCTATTTCACTATCTAATACATTTGTCACAATGTGTATTTACTAAGAGCACTACATTCATCTCTCATATATACTATTTTTATTTGTAATAACAAGTTGTATCACATCAGTTAGTTCCTTGTTAGGTATTTAAAGAGTTCCATGAATTCACATGGAATTCACAATACACTATAAAATGATTCTTCTATGTTTATTACTTCCTATCAATATAGATTTGAAATCATAATATACATAACATTGAGAATTGACCATCATAAATAGCATTTTATGATGATAATAATAATAATAGATTCAATTGAACAGACGTTTAAGCTTTTCCTAAACACATAAGTAAAACACAGATAATCCGGTTTATTAGGTTGTCTTGTTTTCGAATGGTATTTTTTCATTTTTTTCTCATTTTGGTGGGTAAATAGTTTAGTTTTTGTATTGTAGTCCTTATTTTAGTTTGTTTCTTATTCATGTATATATATATATATATATATATATATATATATCAATATACTTACCAAGAAATCTGAATTCACATGATCCTTATTGAAGTCAATATACAATTTGTGATTTTTATAACCAGATAGTAGTATAAATTTAAAAGGTTCTATTATTTCTTACTATCCTTCTAATGAAAAAGAACGACTAGTTTAAATGATATGATAATGGATTATTACATGGAATTATTGTCGATTTCATTTGATTGTTTACAATTTGTTTGGGTAATATTTTTATTATCATTAATCAATTTGGCCTAATGCATATATATATTCAAACATATTTTCTAAATGATTTAATATAATTAGACATGTTTACATTCTGTCAGTGCTTATTAGAGTAATTTGTTTCTATAGTGTTTGTGGCTTTTTAGATGGTATATGAGATTGAAAAATTAAATCAGTTGCAAAATCACTAGAAATTAATGAATTACTCAACACTTATTTCATTTTAATGTACAACTCATTAAGTTTATCCCAGAACCTTCAGGTTTCAAGATGCCATAGATTATGACCCAGTATCACTGCCGGGTATCTAATTAATTCTTCACTTGGTGGACTGTATGATTTGAAAATATTGATCATTCAACGTTGACTCTTACTTACTTACTTACTTACGCATGCTACTGCTCGTGAAGCAGCATAGGCCGCTCACCAGGATTCCCTATTCAACCCTGTCGTGGGCAAAAACGTTGACTCAGTAATCTAAAAAAATCATTTTTATAAGTGCGATATTCATTCTCATAGGTGTGATTGAACAAATAAACTATCAAGTTGAAATCTAATTAAATCTTAACAAAACTGACTAGAAACAAAATTTTAATAGTGTTAACTGGAATACCTAGTTTAATTCAAGTCATTATCGACATAACGTTCATCATAATAAAAATTCTAATTAGCATTAATTCATCTAATAAGGATTGATAGCTGCTAGCAGTGGAATCCAGGACGTGCGTTTCATCCTATTTTCGGCTCGTCGGCTGGATGTGCCTGCATCTCAGAGTTGTTCATTGTAGGACTCGAACCCAGCACCGTTCACTTCAAACGCCATCGTGTTATCCACTTAGCTATCTATCTATTTATCTATCTATATATTTTTGCTTATAAAGCTTGTGACCTAAAACAATATCGAGGCAGTCCACACAAGATGAATATATGCCAACAATAGACTGATCAATCGCATTCCTAAACATCAGTGAGAACGTTCAAGTAAATAATACCATGTTAAGTTACAAATTAAGTTAAAGTAGCAATATTATGTATTTTATGCTGGGAACATTTTTTAATTCTAACCATATCCGCAATTTTAAATCATCATTACTGATTATAACTATTAATATTGCAACAAAATCAAGTTTATTTCTTAGTACTCTGTAAAATTCATAATAATCATGTGTATTAAAATACATTCAACGTTGTTTGATTGAAATTTAGTTTTACCTCAAAGGATTTACGAAGATTATTAATCATAGTTAAACAACTACTGTAAACCAAGAATCATTGAGCAACTATTCCTTCAATTAGATTTAAAGATGATTGAATAAAATTGCAAGTTAATTGAAGCTGGATATATAAACTATTGGTTTAGTTATGGAATAATTGATCTACGAAAGATATAAGAGGCCTTAGTTTGACTCCCAGTGAAGACATAGTTCATCAGTGCTCTTAAATCCCACACAATTTAATAAAAAAACTATTCAATGCTTCCTGATTTTTTAATGATAGGACCAAACTATGATGTAACTTTTTACACAATCTAAATGACTTATTCTATGAATATTCTTTTTTTTTCTATAGATGTGGAGCTTTATTTGAAGGTGATCGAGTTGAATCAATCGATGATATATGCGTAGAAAATATCAAACTTCAAGAAGCAATGTACAGATTAAAAAATAATGGTTTAAATGTAATACGATTACAAATTGTACCAAATGCTATAATGAATTCAGATAAATCAATACAAAATAATTCAGGTAATAAATTGAATTCAATTTTTCAAATATTTTCATTATATCATTTAATATATAAATAGTTACTATCTTATTTATCTTTTTCTTTTATCTCTTTTCTTTTTTTCAATTATCAAATTGATTATGAATCTTATATGTAAAAATGTAATTACATTGTATTTGTTTTTCTCTTTTTTTGTTTCTTTCAAACTATAAGTAGAATAATAACAATAGTAATCATGATAATAATAATAAAGGAGACCATTATTGAGTGATTGTAGAAAACAAATGAAAAACATATTGATTTATTTACAGTGCGCACCCACGATCCCGTCTCGCGAGATCCGAACTCAGGATCGTAGATGCGCACTTCTGAGGAGTTCTATAATAGGACGAAACGGTCATCCAGTGCTTCCAGGTTTTCTATGGCGGTCTAGCTTCAATTGACTTATGATTTCAACTATTAAAATTACTGAAATCTCCACAAAACCCTTTCTGGAAATATTTTCGTCTTGTTGAGAAGACCCAGGAAACGATTCAAAACACCTTATCTATTCAGTATTCAATAGACGTTTCACAGAAACATCTAGAAAGTGAAAAGTCACATATCAAATTTCTGATTGAATGATTATTTTTCCTGTTACTATGTTTAGACTGGTTCTAGAACCATCCAGAAGCTCATAGTAGTCTGAAATACTATAAATACTCTAGATTTTCTGTATCTGAACTAACCTTGGAGTAAAGTGTTTTTTCTCTCGTGTTCAAGTTGACATGTAGATTTAGCCTGGAGTTTAGTAGAAGATAAAAGATGAAATGAACGTATTTCATTATTTTATTTCCTTTAAATCTTCATCATCATCATCATCATCATCATCAATCCTCAACATCCTCACGATTACTTCAATGTTAATTTTATTTTTTTGTTGTTGATAATTACAAATAATTTTAGTAATAACAGTTTGAACATGATTTTTGTATTCAACTAAGTCTCAGTCTCTTTCTCTTATTTAATTCATCCATATATAACATGAACTTACATGGACGTTGAAAGTAATTATAATTATTTTACACTAGTGAACATTTGTAGAACATTCCCATTAATTTATAAAAATCAGTTTGTTTGTGGAATAAAATGAGAAAATGCATAGTCTTCAACTAATAATATCTATAATGAAGTTACTAAATGATAGTACTGTAGTGTAGCAAATATTAATCACTGGTTTAGAGTTACATTATAAACGATGAAATTTAGTTATAGTTTCATCTATTTGACAAGTGATAAATAGACGGAAATATAAAACTTGGATTTTATTATTAAAAGTTCTTTAAAATACAAATTTATTGATTTACTAGAAAATATTTATTTACCAAGAGATAATGGTACAATGAAAATACAATAAAAAAATATTACAAAATACTTCATGAAAATTAATGTTGATAGTCATTCACTGATTAAGAAGAATAGACTAAACAACTATGAAGTACATAGTTTCAGTGAAAATTCACTTTTCCTAACAACTGTAATTGTAACTTTTATGGTTTACATATGTTTTCACGTTCAAAAAGCAAGTATTTAGTTAAAATGATTTAGGTATTTATAGACTATATATATATATATATATATATATATATATATATATATATATATATATATATATATATATATATAAGCCCGAGCGTAGCTGCTACAATGACGTGGTGGTCGGGCTTGCCTATCGTGATGACCCAACCGAGCTATATTGGCTGGAACACATGTTCCTGCAGGTTCTACCATGCCAGGCAGGTCGATTGGAGAGCGGTAAGACTAAAAGCAACAAAACCAAGTTCCGAAGGCGAGGTCGTACTGCTGACTGTACAGAGCTGTGACAGCAGTAAGGTGTTTCCCTCGGACAACCAGCATCTGCAGCGATGCTGCCTTCTCACAAGGAAGGAGGGGGTTAGAAAAGGTTGACCCTAAAAGTGTTACACCTCACCTTACCCCACGGATTTCCGTCTCCGGTGGTAAGGCCGTTTGAAGAACGGAGCTAACACATTAAAAAACTCCAACAAAAAGGCCGTGCGCGACCGGCCTCAAGCAGTTGTTCCTTGGGCTCTGCGGTCACGCACCCAGGTCGTTAAGACCAACACTAATCCGATTTCCTTTTCAGGCACCTCCAGCAGAACCCTTCCACGGTGTGGGCAACCGGGAAGTGACATATGCCCTCATACCCGTAACAGCACACGAGACCAAGTTGGTCACATTCAAATCCTTCCTACACCTCTTAATGACTCTCTTATCTCCATGACCAACCCTTCTCACGTCCCTTTATCACCTCACCCCGCTAGTGCAAGCGATTCGAGTACGCGGAACGTTATTCCTGGTCTCCTGAAACCACGTTGTAAACTACACGTAGGAGCTTTCAACGTCCGAACACCGTGCCAAATAGGACAACAGGCTTCCTTAGCTAAGACTTTAGAATCTCGATCCACCGATGTGTGCTGAGTCTCCGAGACGCGCACACAGGTTCCTAGTAGTGTCATTCATTTGACCGCACCATGTCAAAGTAACGAACTAACTCGATTTACGCTTCATGTATCTGGAAGCCCTGATGCTGCTTCCCGTGGCCTCGCTGGTGTAGGTATAGCATTGAGTCCTAGGGCAGAACTAGCTCTCTTAGACTGGATCCCAGTAGACAGTCGTTTGTGCGCTGTCCGACTAGACGGAACAGTAAGAACTTGGAAAGATAGGGACATTCATCGTCTCTGCCTACTCTCCCACTAACTGCAGCTCAGATGATGTAAAAGATGAGTTTTACAGAAAGCTTTCCGACCTTCTCCGAAAAGCTAGGCGTTCAGATGTAGTAATAGTGGCTGGTGACTTTAATGCCCAAGTAGGTAAACTAAGCGAAAGGGAAAGACACCTGGGTGGATCTTATGGTGTCGCGGCTCAAAGAACAGATAACGGCGACCGTCTGTTACAGCTATGCTCAGATAACCGCCTGTTTATCGCAAACACTAACTTTAGGCATAAGGAAAAACATCTTTTAACATGGCGACCCCTAATTCGTCTCAACGCTGGACCCAAATAGATCACATCGCTATCAGCCACCGATGCAGGGGCTCGATAGAAGACTGTCGCTCATTCTGGAGCACATACTTAGACTCAGATCATGCTCTAGTGCGAGCGCGTATTTGTCTACGTCTTGCTTGACGTAGGAAAGATGGTACAAGGAAACCCCTTAGGGTCCTACTTAATGATAGTCAAGCTAAGAGTATATTTCAGGAACAACTAGAAAAACAGTTAGGCAGCCATGTAAGTGATGCTCACCCCGAGGCAGCGTGGAATGACATCCGAAAAGCTGTAGAAACAGCAGTGATATCTGCAAGTGCGTCTACCGCACTGATAGATGCTCGTAAACTCATTCCATCTGGCTCTGAACATAACAAAGATCGGAGTCAGCTTAAGCGTAAGCTGACTAGAAGCCTACGCATTGATCGTGAACAGTGGTGGGTAGCGAAAGCAAGAGAGATGGAAAAGGCAGCGGCAATAGGTAACAGCAGGCAACTGTTTAGACTTGTTAAGGAAACCGGTATTAGGAACCCAACTGTTAGCGAAACAATCGCAGAGAAAGATGGACATATTATTCATTCTCAATCCAGGAGATTAGATCGATGGGCAGAACACTTTAGGGATCAGTTCAACTGGCCTTCAGCCACACTTCGGTTTCCCACGATCTCCAGTCGACCTGAATGGCAAGTTCATGTAAGTCCTCTTTACGAAGTTGAAAAAGCTATAAGTAATCTGAAGCGTGGGAGAGCAGCAGGCCCTGACAGTTTTACCCCTGAGATTTTTAAGGATGGTGGTCCAGTATTAGCAGCGAAATTGACTGAGGTCTTAGGTAGAATCTGGGAACTGGACGTAATCCCATCTGACTGGTCTCAATCACTGATTGTTCCAGTCTATAAGAAAGGACAAAAGTCCTCCTGTGATAATCACAGAGGAATTAGTTTGACTAATATAGTGTCTAAAATATTAGCTTCACTAATACTTCGACGTCTAACCAAAGCTTGTGAAGAGCAGACTAGAGAAAACTAGGCTGGTTTCCGACCTGGACGTGGTTGTATAGACCAGATATTCACACTACGTCAGGTTCTAGAACATAGACACACATTCAGACGCCCCACAATAATAGTATTTCTCGACCTTAAGGCGGCATTCGACTGTTGATCGTGAGGTTCTATGGCAGTGTTTGTCACTGAAGGGAGTACCAAAGAAGTACATCAACCTTATAAAGGCTTTCTACTCGAACACAACTGGTCGAGTGAGAACATATGGCGAACTGTCATCAGAACTGATTAGAATATGTTGATGACATAGTTCTATTTGGTGAAGAGACTGACAAAATGCAGAGTCTACTGACCACTCTAAGCAACAATGCAGACATGTTCGGAATGCGATTTTCTCCCTCGAAATGCAAAATGTTGCTTAAGGATCGGGTTACATCGACACCCGAACTGGTGATAGGGAGTGAAGTAGTCGAGCGTGTCAACCGCTTCACTTATCTTGGAAGTCTCATCAGCTCTTGTGGTCTGGTTTGTGACGAAATCTCAGCACGGATACAGAAGGCTCGACTAGCTTTTACCAACTTGCGTCATTTGTGGCGTAGGCGAGATATCCGTCTATCAACCTAATAACGGGTTTACTGCGCAGCAGTTCGTTCCGTCCTATTTTATGGCAGTGAAACATGACCGGTAAGAGTAGAGGATATTCGTAGGTTACTAGTGTTCGATCACAGGTGTCTTCGAAACATTGCTCGTATATCCTGGGACCAGCGAGTAAGTAACTCAGTTGTTAGGAAACGGGTACTAGGTAAGGATAGCGAATTGATTGACGAAGTAGTGAAACTTCATCAGTTGAGATGGCTGGAACATGTGTTACATATGCCCAACCACCGACTGCCCTGACGTGCGATATTTTATGGTGTAGGAGTAGGTTGGAAGAAAGCTAGAGGCGGCCAGACCAAAACATGGCACAAATCCAATAAGTCACTGACAAGTGGACTGAGCCATGTTGGTAGGTGTAGGCTGCCTGTTTGGGGTCCGCGAGACGATAGCAACCGATGGTTGGAGACCTTGAATGACATGGCTGAAAATCGTTTGCAATGGCTCAGGTGCATCCACTCTCTGTGTTATTTCAAACTCTAATCTTCTGAATACTTCATATCCTTTATTTTCTTTCCAAATATATTCCACTGGACTATACTCCTTAAATAACATCATCAAACCATAATGTTCCCTATCACTACTTATACTTTCACTACCTCTTCCACTACGGGATTTGAATTGATAACTGAATCTCTGTGCTAATGTGGTATGGCAACTCGAACTGATGTACGTACGTACGAAGTTCCACGTTGTTACTGACTGACTGACTGACTGATATATATATAAGATTATATCTTAAAGTGAAAATTCCCATTTGGACATTTGATAAATACAGAAGGAACGAATTGAGCGAAGAAATTTCTTTTCAATTAGTTTTTCATCATGGCTCTACACTAATATATATATATATATATATATATATATGATTTACAATAATGATATAATACTCATTGAGTGGACACGTTACGTAATAATTACATAATGACATTTAAATTAACATCGAGTAGTTTGGAAGAAAGATCATTATTAATATTCTAAGTAATTATTAAATCAAGAAGTTGCTATTTTGCATAATATATGAAAAGAGAAGGATATTTCGTGGACATTAACCAGTAATAGCTTTAAGAAAATAGCTATACACTGAATAAAATTAACTTTGCTACGTGTAAAATAAACTGTACATTTATAAAGCTATAAGAGAAACTCGATTATAAACAGATAGCTCCAGGAAATAGTACTCTATATATTTGAATAAGAACAGTACTTGGTAAAAAGTGAAGGTACTAAAACTACTCACCTGATTCTATCCTGAAAACATTTTAATATTTGGATAATGATCGGTGTTAAACCGAGAAGATATTATTATTTGCTGTATGAGTGTATGGACAGATTGTTCACTAAAAACATATACTTTGTTTTATTTTGATAGAATGTTTAAAATCCATGAGATCTTTAAGATCAGCAACTCCATTGAGTAGTACACCAACGGCAGCTTGTCGATGTGAAGAAGTTGAAGTGCTACTTGAGCCATATGAATATATAGGCTATGGATTTACATTGATTGCTCCAATATCAAATCAGTTTTCTCTAGAACTAACCAGTTTTCCCTTGATCGATCAAGTGGATCCACGTGGACCAGCATTTAAGTAAGTAGATGTTTAAATGATAAAAAATAGCTAATGTTTTTAATATTTTACTTCAAATCGTTTAACAAGAAATTGATTGATTAATCATTTTTTAGTCCAAGTTTAATTTTCACAAATATATATATATATATATATATATATATATATATATATATATATATAGCCCATAAATGCTCTGGTACGGCCGAGAGTGAGAAAAGTCAGATCACCCTCTCAAAATGCTCTCACATGACCACGTGCATACAACCACTGACAGGGAAGTCCTGATCACTGCCTTCTCGAAATATTACTGTTGTTTACGAAGTTGAAAGCACAAAAAGCGAATGTCCGGTGCTTTAACCGGTTTGGTGGACATGGAGAGTCCACCTAGGGAAGTTGGAAAACCCTGATTCCAAACCAATGGTGTACATGGGTTCCAGGATCCTGGAGGAACAAATGGCGTATGAACCAACCGTTGGTCACTAGCTACAATGGAACTGCATCTCCTGACGTTGCTCCATTGCATCGTGTGTTAGACAGTTAGGTCAAAGGTTCCGGGTGTGGTCCACTAAGAAAATCACCTGCTTCGGTTTGGGCACCCGGGTAGTATCACAGCCCTCACACAAATCAATTGAGATTTGTGTGGCGCATATGTGTTTGGTGCCTCCTTGTACCAATATCTACGTTTTAAAATAATAACAATAATTCTTAAGAGTTTGAATTGTTACAAATCAACATAAGGAACCTGAATTTTCAAAGTGGATAACGTTTCTTATACTATTCAAAATAAGCTATATAGTTAAAAACTCCGCCTGGAGCCCCTTTCCGGGGGCTACTGCCGGTCTCAAGCCCGGATAAAGGAGGAGGGTTGGGCATGGGGTTAGCGACCCCATCCCGTAGAAAACTAACTCGCTAAAAAAACGCTAACCAGAAAGAATTATTCAAACCATTTAAACTCTGCCCTGGGAGTCAGAAGGTCTTCGTTTAGAAGAATTATGACGCCTCACGATGAACGCCGAGTTTCTTCGGAAGTCACGAGGCCGATGCCCCTTCTGACAACCAGAGCAACCATTTATTTAGGTACATGGAATGCTCGCACAATGTGGGAGACTGGGAGAGTTTTCCAAATTGCTGCAGAAATGAGGAGATACAATTTAGAGGTGCTTGGGATCAGTGAAACACATTGGACGCAAGTTGGACAACAACGACTAGCTTCAGGGGAGCTGCTGTTATACTCCGGACATGGACAAGAAAATGCCCCACATACACAAGGAGTTGCATTGATGCTGTCCAAACAAGCACAAAATGCACTTATAGGATGGGAATCTCATGGACCAAGGATCATCAAAGCCTCCTTCAAAACCAAGAAAACGGGGATTACAATGAACGTCATCCAATGCTATGCGCCTACCAACGAATACAACGAAGACGCTAAAGATCAATTCTACGATAGGCTGCAGTCAATCGTCGAGAAGTGCCCAACAAAAGACCTGACTATTCTAATGGGAGACCTAAATGCCAAGGTTGGAACTGACAACACCGGACGACACGGACTGGGAGAAAGGAACGAAAATGGTGAGATATTTGCAAATTTATGTGCCTTCAATAAACTGGTCATAGGCGAGACTATATTCCCACATAAACGCATACACAAAACCACATGGACTTCACCGGATCACACCACACAGAACCAAATCGACCATATCTGCATCAACAAAAAGTTCAGGAGGACGATGGAGGACGTGAGAACAAAGAGAGGAACTGATATAGCATCAGATCATCTCTTGCTGGTCACCAAGATGAAATTGAAACTCAAGAGGCACTGGACAACGGGGAGGACAATATCACAAAAATTTAATACGGCTCTACTTCGGGATACTGACAAACTCAATAAATTCAAGATAACCCTCAGCAATAAGTTCCAAGCCTTTCATGATCTACTCAATGGAGAAGGAACTACTATGGAGAGCAACTGGAAAGAGATAAAAGAAGCAATCACTTCAACATGTCATGAGGTTCTGGGCCAAAAGAAGCACCATCACAAGGATTGGATCACGGTCGATACACTGGATAAGATTCAAGAAAAGAGGAACAAGAAAGCAGCAATCAATACCAGTCGAACAAGAGCAGAAAAAGTCAAGGCACAGGCTGAATACACAGAAGTAAACAAGCAAGTGAAAAGGAGCATCAGAACTGACAAACGTAAATATGTGGAGGATTTGGCATTGACGGCGGAAAAGGCTGCTAGAGAAGGAAACATGAGACAACTGTATGAAACAACAAAGAAACTCTCTGGAAATCAACGTAAACCAGAACGACCAGTGAAAAGCAAGGAAGGCAAGATAATCACCAACATTGAAGAACAACGAAACAGATGGGTAGAACACTTCAAAGAACTCTTGAATCGACCAGCCCCACTGAACCCACCCAACATCGAAGCAGCACTCACGGACCTCCCAATTGATGTTGGCGCACCAACAATTGAAGAGATCAGCATGGCTATCAGACAAATCATGTGTGGCAAAGCAGCAGGACTAGACAGCATTCCAGCAGAGGCACTGAAAGCAGACGTAGCGGCAACTGCAAGGATACTCCACATTCTCTTCAGAAAGATCTGGGATGAGGAACAGGTACCAAAAGACTGGAAAGAAGGACTTCTAGTCAAAATACCAAAGAAAGGCGATCTCAGCAACTGTGACAACTACAGGGGAATCACTCTTCTTTCAATACCAGGAAAAGTCTTCAACAGGGTATTGTTAAACAGGATGAAGGACTCCGTAGACGCCCAACTTCGAGACCAACAGGCAGGATTCCGTAAGGATAGATCGTGCACAGACCAAATCGCAACTCTACGGATCATTGTGGAACAATCAATTGAATGGAATTCATCACTCTATATCAACTTCATCGACTACGAAAAAGCATTTGATAGCGTGGACAGAACAACCCTATGGAAGCTTCTTCGACACTACGGCGTGCCTCAGAAGATAGTCAATATCATACAGAATTCCTATGATGGATTAAACTGCAAAATCGTGCATGGAGGACAGTTGACAAAGTCGTCCGAAGTAAAGACCGGTGTCAGGCAAGGTTGTTTACTGTCACCCTTTCTCTTACTACTGGTGATCGACTGGATCATGAAGACATCAACATCTGAAGGGAAGCACGGGATACAGTGGATAGCTAGGATGCAATTGGATGATCTAGACTTTGCAGATGAACTGGCTCTTCTATCTCATACACAACAACAAATGCAGGAGAAGACAACCAGTGTAGCTGCAGCCTCAGCAGCAATAGGTCTCAATATACACAAAGGGAAAAGCAAGATTCTTCGATACAACACAACATGTACCAATCCAATCACAATTGACGGAGAAGCTTTGGAAGATGTAAAAACCTTTACATATTCGGGCAGTATCATCGATGAACACGGTGGATCTGATGCAGATGGGAAGGCACGGATTGGCAAAGCAAGAGCAGCATATCTACAACTGAAGAATATCTGGAACTCAAAACAATTAGCAACCAACACCAAAGTCAGAATTTTCAATACAAATGTCAAGACAGTTCTACTGTATGGCGCGGAAACCTGGAAAACTACGAAATCCATCGTCCAAAAGATACAGGTGTTTATTAACAGTTGTCTACGCAAAATACTTCAGATCCGCTGGACGGACACTATAAGCAACAACCTACTGTAGGAGAGAACAAATCAGATCCCAGTGGAGGAAGAAATCAGGAAGAAGCGCTGGAAGTGGATAGGACACACATTGAGGAAAACACCCAACTGCGTCACAAGACAAGCCCTCATATGGAATCCTCAAGGTCGAAGGAGGAGAGGAAGACCAAAGAATACATTACGCCGGGAAATGGAGATAGATATGAGAAAAATGAACAAGAATTGGATGGAACTAGAAAAGAAGGCCCAGGACAGAGTGGGTTGGAGAATGCTGGTCGGTGGCCTATGCTCCATTGGGAGTAACAGGCGTAAGTAAGTAAGTAATATAGTTAAAGATGTTCTCGCAAACCTAATGCGGTAGAGAGAGATTTTCACATTAATCAGTCATTTATTATAAGATAAATGTGGTTCGTAGTTGAAACAGCTCAGTTAGAACATATTTGATTATATTTCTGAGCTCACATCTAAAAGGAATAACTTTAGGTTCCGTTTAATTCCAGGCACAATTTGCTAAAAAGTGTCAAGTAGCATGAAGCTTTAGTTCAAGGTATTCTATTGGTTGTTTCTAGCCGATTGATGTGAAACAACTGCACCAAGATTTGGAATATCTTACTCTACAACAACAATAAATCTCTGTATGTTAATTATTAGTTTTTATTCAAACTTATCGCCTGTGTTCACAAATAAAATACTGGAATTCTAAAACTCAAGACAATTACTTTGATATTATGAGATAATCGTAGATTAAAAATACGTTTCACAATAGAGTGCACTACATTCTTTGGCATTATTGAAAAAGATGATTTGTCGACAACAGAATTCACTAAGCTAGAATTCCGATATCACGGTCCTCATCTTTGAACAATTTGTACTGCTGCTCGTTCGTCATTTACCAAGATCACTGAAACCCATATCGTTGCTGTGACATATGGACTGAAATTTAAAGACTTTTCCGTGGGAATGGTTCTTTACTAATAATAAATTGCCTACTAAAGTAGATTATTTTAAAAAAATACACTATATACCACCTTGTTTATTGTTTATTTAAACACGAAAACATTGGTACAAGGAGGCACCAAACACATATGCGCCACACAAATCTCAATTGATTTGTGTGAGGGCTGTGATACTACCCGGGTGCCCAAACCGAAGCAGGTGATTTTCTTAGTGGACCACACCCGGAACCTTTGACCTAACTGTCTAACACACGATGCAATGGAGCAACGTCAGGAGATGCAGTTCCATTGTAGCTAGTGACCAACGGTTGGTTCATACGCCATTTGTTCCTCCAGGATCCTGGAACCCATGTACACCATTGGTTTGGAATCAGGGTTTTCCAACT